AGATAAAGAACATGATCTATTAAGAGGAAAGAATCACATACAAAACAAAAGATCTAAAACTTCTTTTTCTTCTGGTAGAGCAACAAAAATTCATTTTTTAAACTATGTCTGCAGGTAAAAATTTGGCCAAATTTCCCGGTGTTCAGCAAAAGGAACCACATAGAAGATTAAATCTGTGTAAAATTCAAAGATAGGCAAAGCTAAATGATGATGATGAAGACAGAACAGTGGCTGCGGTACGGGCAGCACTTCTGAGGGCGTGTCGCAGATTCTGTTTCCATCTGGAAGCGCATGCCTGCAGTCCTGCCTAGCACTTCACTGAAGGTCAGACTTCATGCATATCATAACTCAACAAAAAATTAGGAAATATCTGTATGCTTTGTTTTTCCTTTAAATTGAAAATACTGAGTGATACCATTCTGGCAAGCAAACCAAGAGCAAAGAGAGCTGGAACTTAACCCTGCCTCCTTTGAACCAGAAGTCCATCTCTACGGAGCAGCAGTTTGGGTCCTAGAATGGCGAGTATATACTTCCACTCTAAGATATTGGAGAGAAATAAGAAGACTGATTGAGAATATGTTTGCAAGCATAAAATACAGTTAAGGAGTTAACACAATTAGCAGAATGATTCACATGACGTAACCCGGAAAGCTGGGGGAAAAAAATATCCTCCATAAAGTTCCTGTAACACAATTACTAAGGTTGTTAGATGTGACTAAGTGAAGACACTAAGAGACACCTGACGACCCTGCCAGCAGAAGCTGCAATGCTGGAAGCAGGACAGAGGAAGCCTCTGCCCGTCCTCTGTGTGCCTGGGGTCTGATCAACCATCCATCAATCATTCTCCACCTCTCTCAACACAAAAAGCTATGCAGCAACTCTATACAAAGATGGCTGCAACGACATGACCCAGACTAAAGGATGTGTGGAGAACAGAAATAGGAAGTAAAAATACAAGCTTATGATTTATTTCTGTTGCTGGGGAAAATAAATTTAATGTCATATAGACTACAGAGAAAACATTTCTGTGATGTCAGGATAAGCAAAGATTTCTTAAACAGAATACAAAATACTTTATCCATAAAAAATAGTTATTTGGAGCTTATAAAGGCTAGTCAGTAACAGGTACTATTAAGAAAACAAAGTCAATATGTAAAGTGGGAGATCTGGCCATCTATCCATCTTTCTGCTTTTTCATAGATCAATGGATTATTTATCTGTTCATGATCTACTCACCTATCATCAACTGATCAACCTGTTCCCTGGAGCCCATTGATCTATCTCGGGGGAGATGAAGAATCCCTTCTGCTCACAGACAACCTAACCGAAGCTGTATCATAAAACAGATCATTTTAAAAGATAAATAAAATAAAATAAAATAAAATATAAACTGGGTAACAGATTCAAAGAAATACTTTACAAAAGAGGCTCCATTTTGGCTGCTCCAAGTATTTGTAGACAGAGGCAGTAAATGCAAGATTTCTTTTTGTCACTCAGTCTTTCAAAAAATACTAGTAACATAATTTTAAAAATAAGTCTTCAATATTCTTAATGGACATGACAAAAAATGATTTATTAAATATTCTAGTAGAAATACCAGGCTAAAGGGGCAGTGTTGGGGTACAGTGAGTTAAGCTGCAAGCTGTGACACCAATATCTCATATGGGAACTAGTTCAAGTCATGTCTGGTCTGCTTCCAATTCAGACACATGCTAATGCACTAGGGAAAGAAGCAGGAAATGGCTGATGAGTTTGGGCCTTGCCACTCGTGTGGGAGACTGGAAGAAGCCCCTGACTCCTGTCTTCAGCCTGGACCAACCCTAACCCTTGTCATGGCAGGTCTCTCCTGCTCTCTGTAATTCTGTCCTTCCAATAACTAAATAAGATACTTCCATTACCAAGATAGTGGCTCAGTATTAATTGAATGTGGAGTTAGATTTGCTTTAAATGTAGGTGGAAAAATAGAAACATAATTTATAGGTTAAGAAGAAAAACCTAAATAAAAAACAATGATGATTCCTTTCTTCATCAACACATTGGTCACTCAGTAGCATGTTACTTAACTCCATGGTGTTGTAAATATTTTAAAAACTTAATTCCTGTTGTAGATCTTGTATTATGGCTTTTCATTTTAGGGACTGTATAGGAACTGTGAAATAGAGAACACCATATCCATTTGTGAAGGTACAATACAATATGTATCTTCCCATCCAAATCAAAGATGGACTCCCAATGAAACTGTTCAATATATCATGACAACAGGATGCTGTACTCTACCATTGTCTGTACCCACAATGTCAGGATACACTTAAAAAGCAGAATGATGGACTTACAACTGCTTATGAAGGACTATACTATTGTAATAATATAGGGGAAATCAGTTACGGGGGGACTTGGGAAGGGGGCAAAAACACTACATCGAGAGAAAGTAGAAAAGCATTGGTCATAAACAGTACGGCAGGCTTCACTAAAATAGAAGCTCCAGTAATGCAGAGGAGGTTGAAAAAAAATGAAGACAGCCATGAACTTGGAGAAAAATCTCTACAACATTATCAATTAGATAAAACACTATCCAAACTATGCAAAGAACTCTTACAATTCAACAATACATAATTCAACTAAAAGGGGGCGAAATATCTGAAACAGTTATCACACCAGAGATACACAGATGGTAAGCAAGTACATGAAAAGATGCTCAACTTCAGTAATTAGAACTTCAAACTAAAAGAATGATATGCCACATTCATTAGAAAGGCCAAATCAAAGAACCAGCACCATCAGATGTTGCCAAAGACCTAGAGCAACTGCTGATGGGAAATCACAAGGGCACAGCCACTGTGGAATACAGCTGGGAGTTTTCCTAAAAATGATCTCAGACGTATTCCTGCTGCATGACACAATGATCACATGTCGTGATGTGCCTCCAGATGTGTTGGAAACTTATATTCACATGAGATCTGCACTTACAGCAGCTTTATCCATAATTAGCAACAATGGGAAGCACCAAGATGTGTTCCAACAGGTAAACTGACTAAACCAAGTTTGGTACATCAATAAAGTGGGGTATTACTCAGACACAAAAAGAAGTGAGCTATAATGCCATGAAAAGACATGGGGGAAATCATACTACCTATTGCTAAGTAAAATAAGTCATTTAGACAGCTTCAGCATGACTCCATGACATGGGATTCTACAAAAGATAAAAGTATGGAAACAAAACATATCAGTGATTGTTAATGGCATGAGAGGAAGAAGAAAGGGGGTAACTGGGACAAGTCTAGGGCATTTTCAGAACAGAGACTATCATTCTGCATAACACCACAGGATGAATACATTCCTCACACATTCCATACACACAGAACATACAGCAAAAAGAATGAACCCTAAGGTCCACACTACATCCTGATCTGCAATAGATGCACCACACTGCTTAGCAAGATATTAAAAGTAGGAAACTGGAACTGGTGCAGAAGCCTAGTGGCTAAAGTCCTTGTTTTGCATGTGCCAGGATCCCATATGGCCACAGGTTCTAATTCAAGCAGCCCCACTTCCCATCCAGCTCCCTCCCTGTTTGTGGCCTGGGAAAGCAGCAGAGGATGGCCCAAAGCCTTGGGACCCTGCACCTGCATGGCACACCCGGAAGAGGCTCCTGGCTTCGGATTGGTTCAGCTCCAGCTGTTGCAGCTGCTTGGGGAGTGAACCAGAGTGACTCAGAAGATGGAGAATCTTCCTCTCTGTCTCTCCTCCTCTCTGTATATCTGACTTTCCAATAAAAAAAAAATCTTTAAAAAAAAGTAGGAAATCGTGGGGGTGGTTACAAGGATGCATGGTGATTCTCTGTACTTCCTGCTCCACTTTTTGTATAAATCCAACATTGCTCCCACCAAACTGAGGTTTATTAATTAAAAAATAAACTAGATATGTGCATATATAGAGAGAGGTATGCAAAATACACACACACATATATTCTTTTGTTAATGAAATTGGCAAGTTTTTCTGAGAAAATGAGAATGACCGGAAAGGTTTAGACCATATTACACGTGCCCTTTTGAGTATAACAAATTTGAAAACACTTAAAATGACACAATATTTTTACAACAGAATGTTGGTACAATAAATTACTCTAAAGTGAGAATGTTGTTAATTTGAGTAGTAAGGATTTATCTACTCTCAGTCCCTCATTTATTCAACAAATTAAAAGATACTATTACTTCTTCTGTTCCTCTTGTGGCCTCTTTAAAGTTTTCCATTTCAGTTTTTTTTTTTTTAGCATTTATTCACTTATTCAGATAATCAGAATAAATGTAACTTTAATGTGACAAAAGTTACTACCATTCTCTTTCTACTTCAGTAGTTTTTCTGCTTTAGCTGTTTAAAATAATACATCAACGGTGTCTCACTGCAGCAAGCTAGCCATGTGGAAACGAGAAGCTTCATCAGATTAGGCCGCATTTTCATGGCTAGAAAATAAGTTAAATTGTAAAGGTAAATTCTGAGTGCTAAAATTTCCGGCAGATTTTGTTCTTCGTCAAAAGAATACAATACACGTGAACCAGCCTGGGGAGCAAATTTGTGTTTCAGAACATCCAACTAACAGTGGTATGAACAGAGAACATGTCAAGAACACAGGTGACATTCTCTGTAGGGCCTGGAACCTCGCTGCTAGGGTTCGAGGGTAGAGCCCCAACTGGGTCAGCACTACTTCGCTGCTAAATCAAAGAGTCTCACTTTCTAAGAGGGGAGAATGACCTGGAAGTTAAAGATGGGTTGATGTGCTTGTCAATGCTCCAAGTTTGATCCATCCCAGTTCCTTCTGCTATCGGTTTGAGCTCAAAGAACATACACATGTGAAATGGAGACAGGTCGGTGAAAACACATTCTACCAAGTTCAAATAACTTCTGCTTGATACATGGAAAATCCAAAATGCTATGTACAAAAGGATTTAGCAAAACAGATATTTTCCCTCTGTTTAGTATCACTTAAGAAACGGATATTTTACCTGACGAAGTCTTCCTCCTCATCTCTCCTTGGCCTCAGCTGTTTGGGTTGAGCCATATTAATCCAGTTTGGTAGCGATTTCAAAAGTCTGCTGATGTCATCATCCTTTGCCCAAGATGCACTGATGACCAGCTTTTCTTCAGACTGAACAATGCCCCTATACACAGCAAGAAAAACAACACCTCAGCACAGCACTTGATATTCTGTTAGCATTTTTTTTTCATAAAAATGAATATCACACCCACATCTCTGATTAACATAATCTGAGTTCAAAGTACTGATACTCATTCATTGCTGGTTAACACCACTTCTAGATTTGTTCTTAGTTCCTTCATTGCTGAATAATACTGAAAAAAACAATTAATTCCTCTTATTAGAGTTAATCTCTTAGGATAACAGAATTGCCTGGTAAGTTTTTGGGACATCTTTCAAGATACATAAAAAAGTTTAATACATAAAAAGTTTGGCTGCTGTCTGGTGCACTGACTAACTGTTGTTTATGATGCAAGCAGTGCATATCAAAGATCTACTTCCAATTCCAGCTTTCTTCTAGTGAGCCCCTTGGGAAGCTGCAGCGATGGGCAGGTACCTGGGTCTCTGGACCTGCATCAAATTCCTGGTTTCTAGTTTTGGCCTGGCCAAACTTTGGCTATTGTGGGCATTTGGGGATTGAGTCAGTAGACAGAAACTCTATTTGTGCACTTGTCTACAGTATTACAGAGGTTGTCTGACTTCTTGATGTAGGTGCTGTTTGAATTAAGGCTGCTCCTCTATTTATATAGCAACTATGCCCCAGAGGTCAAGAGGAAAGACTTCTGATTATTGCTGTCCCACAGGGCTCTGACCAGTGACTCAGAGTTGATGGGTTTCAAGTCTTTTAAAGGGTTAGCAGCTAACACTACTCTTACCAGAATATATCTGAATTCACCTTCCATGTCCAGGATAAACTTAAGTAGCTTCTCTTTTGCCTCACCATTTCTACCACCATAACTGATTTCAATGGTCTAAAAATCTCAGTCACCACATAAACACAACAGAAACTTCACAATGGAGGACTCATTAACTGGCAACCCCTCTAAAGTCAAGATTCCAGATGGTCTCTCTCATTACAGGCAGAATATCTTTTGGTGTGGGGTCACAGTGAGACATTACGCATCTCAGTAAGCACTGCACACAGCATGCCTGTATGTATGTATAACAAACCCTCCTTTGTCCAACAACTTAAGGTTTGTGGACCAGAGAAGGTGAAGGCCACAAACCTTGACTCTGACAGTCTGATTCAAGGTAACACTTTTATTACTGCAGAGAGCAACACTGCTGTAGTTCTCTTAAACTAAGCTAGAACAAACGAGAATACAGGTGACTGCTATAATACTTCTAATGCATTATAATCAAAAAAATTCTAACAGTAACTGCAGTTTAAAAAAAACCAGACTATAGAACTTTCTACCTCAACGGACTGTTGCTACCTTCTTAGTTTTGTTAGGGCTTTTTATATTATCTGCGATATTTGTGGGTTGATCCAATCATCCAGCTTTTACAGCCTTAAACTTGCACTGCTGGGCTCAGTCTTACAGAACCGCACTGCCTCTCATGTATGACATCCCATTGTTGGTAAATCCTCAAGGCTCTATTTCATTTTTTTTTTTTTACCTCTGATGAGGTCTTTCTATTTCCCTGAGTGGCTATTTTTTGTTAAAATACTTACTCTTTGTGTACCTCTCACTGTTGAGTCTCCGCAATTTTCTCTGTGACAGACAGGAGGGGGCCCACCTTCAACAGATGTCTATGTCAATCTGTTTCATCATCAATCATTTTCAGTAGTTTTTTTTTTTTTTCTTTTACTTAGGTTATACAATTAATTTCTCTTTTTCCCATGACTTTAATATCTCTTTTGGAATATGTTCCCCTACTCCAGAATTTTTTTTTTACATATTTTTAAAAGATTTATTTTTTATTGGAAAGGCAGATTTATAAAGAAAAAGAGAGACGGAAAGATCTTCTGACTGCTGGTTCACTTCACAAGTGGCTACAACGGCTGGAGCTGCCCTGAGCCGAAGCCAGGAGCTTCTCCCGGGTCTCCCACATGAGTGCAGGGCCCCAAGGCTTTGGGCCGTCCTCGACTGCTTTCCCAGGCCACAAGCAGGAAAGAGGGCCAAATGCTTGGGTAGGTAGGTCCAAATGCCATTCAGGTAGGAGAGCCAGGAGGTGGTTTAGGCTCTTGGTGCTGACACTGGCTACTGCTACCACGTATAAAGTGTAACCCATAGAAGTATGTACACTATACATTTAAAAAATGATTTATTTATTTTTATTGGGAAGTCAGATTTACAGAGAGACAAAGATCTTCTACCTACTGGTTCACTCCCTAAGTGGCCGCAACAGCCAGAGCTCAATCAATCTAAATCTAAGAGCTTCTTACGGGTCTCCCATGTGGGTAGTCTCCTAAGGCTTTGGGCTGTCCACCATTGCTTTCTCAGGCTACAAGCAGGGAGCTGGAAGGGAAGCAGAGCAGCTGGGGTATGAACCAGCGCCCATATGGGATCTTGGTGTATGCAAGGTGAGGACTTTAGCCACTAGGCTACCACACCGGCCCCTATACAGTTATTTTTAAAGGTAAGTAGTATTTGTTGTATTAAAAAAACAAAACAAAACAAAAAAAGGGCTCAGTGCGGTATCCTGGCAGCTGAAGTCCTCACCATGTACGTGCTGGGATAGCATACTGGTGCCACTTCTAATCCTGGCGGCCCTGCTTCCCATCCAGCTCCCTGCCTGTGGCCTGGGAAAGCAGTAGAGGACAGCCCAAGGCCTTGGGACCCTGCATCCTCATGGCAGACCTGGAGGAAGCTCCTGGCTTTTGATAAGAACTGTACTGAACTGAAAGACTGATTTGGGTAGTATGGTCATTTTCACAATATTAACTCTTCCAATCCACAGACATGTGATATCTTTCCAATTATTTGTGTCTAAATTTGTTTTTAATTAAAGTTATATCGATTTCAGTGCACAGGCTGTTCACCTCTTAAACTTATTCCAAAGTATTTTATTTTTTGGTTGCAAGTGTAAATTGTAATCTTGATTTCTTTTTTATGTTGTTAGTATATAATTATATTACTACTTTTTGTGTTGATTTTGTACCCTACATTTTACTGTGTTTTTGTATTGGTTCTAATGGTTTGTGTGTATGGATGTGTGTATAAACATTAGGGTTTTCTATACATTTCTATATATTCTATACATACACGAGAAAGGCTGCATTTTTCACACCATTCAGGCATTCCCATCCTGCTGGGGGTCCCTGAGTAAAAGGCTTCAGTCTCTCTAGTGAGTATGACGCTCGTTCTTGGCTCGTCGAGATGGGCTTCAACGCACTGCAGTGTCCTCTAAGCCTAACTTGCTTATTGCTTTGTGCCATGAAAGGATGTTAAATTTTGTCAAATGCTTTTTCTGCATCTAATGAAATAATTATATGATTTTTGTTCTTCATTGTTACTGTGATGAGTCACTTTCTCCAATTTATGTAAGTTGAAAATCTCTGCCTTAGAGGGATGAGCCCTCCTTGACCTTGGAGATAATCCCACTAATGTCGACTTTTGTCTGCAGGAATTTTGCAGCAGTTTTGGAATTTATGTTTATCAGACATATATTGTTCTTGTAATATCTGTATCTGGCTTTGGTATCAGGGTAATTATTGCTGGCTTCAATAACTATTGGATAAATACAAGAGGAAGAAAATTGAATGAAAGATATAGCTGGAGAGAAAAATCAGAAAAATATCAGAGAGCAAACATATTCTCTATTTCATCTAATATCAACATTATAAAATTAAGCTAAAGTAAACCATAACATATATGTATATAATTAAATAGGCTGACACCTACTTAGCATTTTGCATGATTGGAACATTCTTCTAAGCACTTGACTACATTAACCCTGTTAGTTCTCGTAACAATCCTGTATATTAGACATCGCTAAGGGGGCTAGGGGAATTGTCCACGGGTAACGGGCTGGTGAGGCAGAGCTTGCTGCATGGAGCCCAGACTTGATAAGGTCCGTCTCTAAATCATCAGAAACACCCACCAGCCTTCCTATTGCCTCTTCCATTCCATTACCTCTTCTTTGGGATTTAGCATCAGGCATTTATCTTCTAATGCACATACAACCATTCTACCCCTTGGAACTTTGCCATGTTGTAAGTCTTTCTAAACCTCTGTTTTCTCATCTGTACATCAGGGAGTTTAACTTCACAGATTTGTTGTGACTGATCAGAAGAGCTCACGACTTCAAAGTCCCTACGCCACCATGCACTTTACTGTTTATTTCCATCCCAGTCAAAGTCTACTTTATTTAGTATGGAGTTTATTGCAAAAGATTCCTATCTGCTCGTGGTAGACTGAGCAGGGTAAAAGAACTTAAGATTGGCTGTTGGCTACAGAATTCATAGGGTACCTGGGAAGATGCGCAACTGTGTACAGCCAAGACAATTTTTGTGCACTAAAAAAGTAGAGGCCTTCCGCTGATCAATAAATTCAAGGGAAAGGCCCATCCAGAGCAGAGGCATAATTCAGACATTGGAGATAGTCATGTGAAGAGCGACCTCCTAGAAGCTGAGAATTAAGACCTATGATTTCTCATTCTGTAGCACAAATATGAATCATTCTGGGAACATCTTAAACTATGCTTTCCTAGGCCCAACTCTCATCAAGTCTGGTATGGCAAATCTAGTATGCCTGTTCTGAAATTTCACTGAATAATTTTGTTAAGAACCAATAGTTGAAAAACAATATTCTAGCAAGAGAAAGACATGTAAACCAGTGAGAGAAAGACATGCAAACCAGTAAGAGAAAAACATGAAAACCAATAGCTATCAACTCTGTATTAAAAAATTGAAGTGGACTACACAGGGGATAATTGCCAGAATAGAGTTATGCATAATAAATCACAGGAACTCATGCAAACTCTTAGCTGCTAAATGATCTCTATGAAACAAACACTGTGCATGTTCTGTAGTATTCTTTTGTGTCTAATCAATATTTAATAAAAGTGAATCTATGTCAGGGCTAGGTAAGCCAAGAAGGAAGGGGGACAAATAGCTCATCGGGAGCTTGCAGAGGGTCCCCCTGGCATACTCCTTAGGTCTCTTAGCTGCCAGGCTGG